TCAACCCAAGTTGTAGGACAATATTTAGCACCGGCTGAGGAAGCTTAAATACGTTCGGAAAGCTCAGTATTTGTTTTGAAGATAAAAAAGCATTATGCATGAACTAACATGTCTGTTTGAGTATGCAGACGAAATATGCAAGCGGGGAAGTACGAGATGAGGAAAAAATGTACTAAATGTACTTGCATAACTGACTCCAAGTGAGGAGTGTTAATTTAAGAATTAGAAAGGAGTAAAGTAGGGGCAATTTAGAAGCACAGAAAAATCTCCAGTTAGGTGACCGGCGTGTTTATGAAAACGGAAACTTGGTGGATTGGTCCCGTGGCCTGATTAAGTTCAGGCCTTTTTGTATGAGCAAATGATTCTGACTCGCAGCACTTTACGCACTACTGGTAGGATATGAACAAATAACCTCCACATCCTGATTCGAAAATCCCCTAATGCCTCAATCAATTGCGCCAACTAGTTCCTTCACGATATCATAAATTAAATTATATAACAAATGTCAGTTCATATCACAAACTGTCACAATCTAGTGCATATATACCATCTCAGTCATCCTCAGATCATTAAATACAGACGGGATAATATTACTGAATCATATTATATTGTATCCCAACAAAGAAACTCACATCACATAGGTTTAAGGAGTATTAGCAATGACAAACATGTCCTTCGAAATCGTGGTAACGGAAGGCAATGATGGTCTAGAGAAATCACAGACGTGAGGAAATTCGGACACTTTTGACAGTTTTGGTTTCGGTATTGTTGGTAATTCGGGGCTTTGGTAGTTCACGAAGTAGCGGCAATTCGACTTTCGACAGTGATGGCAATTCCAACTTTGGCAGGCTCGGAATATTAGGAAGTTGAGGCAATCCAGACTTAGGCAGTTCGGGCACTTCGGGCAACGTTGCCTCTGAAAGTCGGTAATGCATGGAAAGGATTTTCATAAAAAAGAAAAATATATATTTGATGTCCACGCGCGCAAATAACGCAAAACATAATGCTGAACGAAATTCATGAAATGATGTATAGAACTTATTAGCTGATCTAGAAATACTCAAATACAAAAAGGAAATCATTAAAGTGGAAAGAGCTAAGCCTTGTCCAAAGGAGAGGAGTCATTGAACAAAAGAGTCATGAGATGACCGTAATGAGACTCGCGAATTGTCACTGCGCCTAAAGCTTCTTCTTGAGCTCCAACATGAAGTCATAGACCTTGTGCTGGTCGGGCAACGACTTGGCCACGCTCTCCCTCTACATGCAACGCTCGGCCCATCCCACCAACTTGGGGCACTCCTCCTCGGTGCTAAAGTCGGCCGATGTCTCGAAAGCATAGAACTAGCTATAGAACGGTTTTAGCGACACATCCACGTACCCAAACCTCTCACCTCCAAAGTAAGCCTCGTCACCGAGCTCTCCCTCCAGCACCTTCAAGTACTCGATGTACTCCTTCTTCGCTGCCTCCTGGGCCTCCCCCGTTGACGTCCACACCGCTCGCACCACTGTCCTCTACACCATCGTTTTATGTTTTGACATTAAGCACACTTAATAAGGAAATGTTTGAAAGATTGGGCGTCATCGTCTTACCTTCTTGTTCACGTGGTCAGCCCAGAACTTGGCCAGCGCCCGCTCATGAGGATCGGAAGGCAAGAGAGGGGACTCACGACCCCAGGTCTCGTCGATGTACTGGATGATGACGAGGGACTCGCAAACCGGCTTGCTGTTGTGGCTGAGGAGAAGGATTTTCTTGTGGACCGGGTTCATCTCCAAGAGCAGGGGGCTCTTGTTGCTCAGAACATCCTCCTCCCTCAGATCAAAGTCCACGCCCTTCTCTCTCAGGGCAATCTTGGCCCTCATCCCGAGCGGGCTCGGCCAGAAGTCCAACAATATCACTTCCTCCGCCATTGAAGCTATGGTAATCTGAACTCAAGAATGCTTTGTTTTATGTGGTGAAATGAGGTTAAAAGCAGGAGCCACTTTTATAGAGCAAAAGAGAAGATGGATGAGGCTTTTCATTCGCTGCAGTGCTCGGGGACTAGGAGAGAGGCTGCTTAAAGCTGTCACTGCTCGCGTCACTGTCAGCTCCAAATCTAGTCTCCATGCCCGGCCCGGCCGATTAGCTAATGGCTTAGGTTGTAACATGAACGAGAAATACATATCTTATTATTAGTTCGACTGGCAGTTGCTTCCTTCTTTCTAGTGCTTCCAGTTCTTCCCTACTGCATTATGTTCCATTTCTCATTATTCCTGAACTTAGACGGAATCATCTCGTTCTTGACTTTAAGCCAAGCTTTCATCTGTAAATAAACCGTAGTTTAAAGGCGCGAAAGTAAACAATTGTACATAATTATGGAATATAATATTATTTCTTGCTGATGAAGAAAAGAACAATCATATTTCTGTTGCCCGACTAGTGGTAATCGACGTGGCATTGTAGGAGTCTTTGGTCATGGTGATCTTTTTAAATTAGGGTTTTTGATTATTTGGAAGGCTAATGTCACGTAAAAACCCCACCTTTTATCTCATTTTTCCAATTTATCCCATGTTTCACGGTTGGCATAACAATACCCAACCTTTTTGTTTTCACTTCAAAAAATACCTTGCAGTGAAGCTCCTTTTCAAATCTCAAACATCTTTTTAAGTATTTACAGAATTTCCATTAAGGCCATAGTTCTTGAAAAAGCTTAACCTTTCGTTTGTTTATAAAAATCCAAAAAAATATATATTCTTAATAAGTAAGGATAGTTATATTTTATTGAGAAAACCTAGTTTTCCATTTTTTTCTTTTCACGCAAGATTGAAAAAATATTAAAAAAAAATTTAATAAAGGCCGGTAGAAGGCTAGATCTTTCTTCCTTACGTTATAACTCACATAGTGGGTTCAATACTCTGTTAACGAAATTCTTTGCTAGGGATGAAAGCAACGTTGCGACAGTAGGGGAAAATGCTCTTGCAAAAGAGATGGACATATTGTAAATGAAAGGCTTGATTCTGTCGTGAGAGGAAAGTAATTCAAATAGACCTAAAAAAGTTAGGAGTCAAGCTCCTAAAGCCAACTACTGGAATTTACCCTAATGGCCACCCTTCTTATTTGGGAAAGGAAAGGTGGGGAGTTCGATTCCTCACCTTCTCAGGAGGGGGTTAGAAGTGGAAATGTTTAGTATCGGATGTAGGTTTCGACTCCTGGCAAAAGTTTGAGAGTGAGTTGAGAGTTAGAATGAGAAAAATAAAAAGCCCCTAAAGCCAAAAAGTTATGGCAAGAAATGGCTGCACCATTTGTCCTTGATCTTGCGAAAAAAGTGGTTAACCTTAATGGCAATTACACCAAATCGTTACACCCAAGTTGTAGGACAATCCTTAGCACTGGCTGAGGAAGCATAAATACGTTTGGAAAACTCACTACTTATTTGAAGATAACAAAGCATTTTGCATGAAGTGGTATGTGTATATGCATGAGCAAACGAAATATCCAAGTGGTGAAGTACGCGATAAGGAAAGCGTGTACTAAATGTGCGCGCATAACAATCTGAGTGAGGAGTGCTAGTTCAAGACTTCGGGGCTCGCCCTCGCCCAGGCAGGGCCCGCCAAATCTGGCGAGGCCGCCATGGCTTGGGTGAGGACCAGCCTCGCCAGATCTAGCGAGGGGAGCCCTCGCTGGGGAACGCCCTCGCCCAGGCGAGAGTTGGCCGAGCCTTGCCTATGGCGGGTGACGGCGGCGTCCGAGTGATGGCGGCCTCGCCCAGGTGAGGCCTCAGCCATGGCCGGTCGCCAGTGTCCGGTCACCGGCTAAAGGTAGAACAAAGGGAAAGAAAAAAGGAAAAGAAGGAAAAAAATAATAAAAATCAGAAAAAATAATATTAAATCGAAAAAATATTAAAATATTATTAAAAATTATTTATGTCATCGCCGGCGGTATCATGTAGGCCAGCCAGCATCCACGTTAGCAGTATCCAGCCAAAATTAGCAGGAAGAACTGAATTGACACAAAGACAAAATATTTAGGACTAAATTGGCATCAACACAAAAGGTTTAGAACTTTTCTAATATTTTTCCCTACAAACCTGTGATAGTTTGCCATTGTGGAATTGACGCGCAAATTGAAAAGCTTTGATGAAGATGGTGAAGAAGCTGTGAATTTCCTGGAAAGGGTCGTGGCGTGTTTGGGGAATGGCTTGATTAAGAGGGGGGCGTGGAGATTGGGGAGATTGCATGTATTGTTTGGTAGGAAAATTAGCGAAGTGAAGTTCAACTTCTTGTCCAATTTCATTTTCATGTGTTCAACAAGATTTGAGCAAATTAATAATTCCAAAGGATCTAGCCAACTCTAGGCTTTTTAAGTTTGTCATGTAATCATCAGCTGTATCGTTTTAATTTAGAAGTATGTGTTATCTTCACTTTTATCCCTCTCATGTGACAAAATAGATTCGTAACCCAACTTAATCTTTGACTTACATCGGTTGGACCCAGTTGAAGCGGGTCGTCTAAACTTTTCACCAGATAGTTCGAAAAGCAAAACCCAACTAAATATGGTTCTTAAGAATTCAGAATAAATCCATTTTAGTCAAAGTAGAAATACATCGGCAATCAAAAGGACAAGGAAGGACATCTTGAGTTTTAATGGGTTTGGATCTAACCCATTTTAATCAAATGAAAAAAAATGTTAGTAATTAAACCTATTGTCCATGCTATCGCCAGCCATACCACTTAGGAAGGTCGGCATTTACATTAGAAATTTCTGACTAAAATTGGCCGGGTGGACTCAATTCGCAAAATGCGAAAATGTTTAGGACTGAATTAGTAAAAGTGTAATAGGTTTGGAACTTTTTGGATAATTTTCCTAAAGAACAAGCAAGAGGACTGAATGCCAAAAGCAGAGAGCAGCTCGTGAGCTTCTTCGATGCCAAACACCACTCAACTCAAAGGAGTAACCATCTTCAACCAGCAAAACGTTCTTCTACAACATCTAAATGGCAGCTTACCCAATTTGATCATTTCTTGCCCTATAGTTTATTCACCATTTGGAAGGTCGTTCCAAATTTCGACAGTTTCTCCATCGACTTATACTTGTTTTCCTTCCACAGTTGCAAGGTCCGATCCCCACGAAAGCAAGTGTAAACAATGCCATCGTTTGAGCCCCTCACTTGGATTTGGGCTCGCGTCTTATTCAGTCAATAAGGTAAGTAAGCCATTACATGGGAGTAGCCTTCAATCACTTTATTAATGTCGAAAAAACCTTACAAGGAGCTTTCCAAACATTGCCTCGCCCCTAGAGTGCAACGAGAATAGGTCGATAAGAGCAATCCTCACTCGACAGCTCAAAGCTGACCAATACAAAACCATGCGATCCGTCCTCGTGTACGGTACCCCACTGGCTTCCTCGTACCCTTTACTTACTACTCCCTCGTTCACTGGCTTCTATTATATTTGACTACCTCACTTCAGTGTCCCCTTAACTGGCTAGCTACCGTGAAGCACCTCATGGCCACACTCAATCCGATCTCCTCTCTCCTCCTCCTCCTCCTCCTCCTCCTCCTCCTCTCCTCAGCCATCCCGACGCTCGCCTCTGGCTTCGCGACCACCCTCGACCCGAGCCTCATGGGCCTTGACCTCGGGAAGGAGAAGCTCAGCCACTTCCGCTTCTACTGGCACGACGTCATGAGCGGCCCCCACCCCAGCTCCGTCACCGTCGTGCCCCCGCCGTCCAATGCCTTGGCCACCTTCTTCGGTCTCGTCAACATGATCGACAACCCCCTGACCCTCCGCCCCGACCCGGGGTCCAAGCTCGTCGGCCGCGCCCAGGGCCTGTACTCGTCGGCGTCGCAGGAGGAGGTGGGCCTGCTGATGATCATGAACTTCGCCTTCGTGGCGGGGAAGTACAATGGCAGCGGCATCACCGTGCTGGGGCGGAACCCGGTGCTCCAGAAGGTGCGGGAGATGCCGGTGATCAACGGCTGCGGGCTGTTTCGGTTCGCCCGCGGGTATGCCCGGGCGACCACCCACACGTTCGACCGGAAGACCGGCGACGCCGTCGTCGAGTACAACGTCTACGTGTTGCACTATTGACGTTCGGTGACGTGAATGATGATCGGGTTGTTTACTGTTTGGGCCTTTTCTTGTTCCTTTTCGCTTTCTCTTTTCACTGTTACCACCTTTTCTCTTTTAAATTTCTAGGATTCTAGTGATGGCAATCATAGAGTCTACGTGTTGCGCTATTGACGTTCGGTGACATGAATGATGATCGGGTATTTTAGCGTATGAATGATAATATTTCTCTTTCCCGATTCTATTTCTAGCTAAAAATTAAAAAATTTATTTCTCTTTTTTTGACGAATTTCTAAACAAAAAGTAGCATTTGATAATGATACAAAATTTCTATTCTCGAAATATAAATTCGTTTAATAACGACGTAAAATTTCTATTCCACCGACTGCGGCGGACAGCCGGCGAGCGGTGGTGGCGATGGGCGCCGGTGGATGGGCGGCGAACAGGTGGCGAGTGGCGGTGGCAACGGGCGATGGTGGATGGCCGGCGGACGGCTAGCGAGTGGCGGTGGCGACGGGCGACAACGAATGGCCGGTGAGTGGCAAGTGGCTAACAAGCAATGGTGGGGGGCAACGGGCAGCGGCGGCAGACAGCCGGCTAGCAGTAGGCGACAGCAGACGATCGGCAAAAGGCGACGGCCGCCGACTACCGGCTGACGAGCGGCGGTAGGCAACGGCGGTGGACAGCCGGCCAGCAAGCGGCGACGAGCGATGGCGGCGGACGGCTGGCCGATGAGCGGCGGCGGGTGGTAGCGAGTGGGCGGCGGTGAGCGGCAAGGGTAAGCAATAAAATAGAGTTGTTATTTCTATTTCAAATCTATTTATGAACCAAATTTATCTTAGAAATAAAAAAAATGAAATTATTTTATCAAACGGATTTATGTTCTAAACCTGTTTTTGAAAATAAAAAAATAAAAAAATAGGAAAACACAATAATTATCATTCGCGCCCTTACTTTATGGGCCTTTTCTTGTTCCTTTTCACTCTCTTTTCACTGTTACCACCTTTTCTCTTTTAAATTTCTAGGATTCTAGTGATGGCAATCATAGAGGCCACTCTTGATTTCCGGGTTTGCTTATGGTCTAAGCAAAATGGGGTTGGTAGGTGAGAAGTATTAGCCTATTTACTTCTTTAATAATTGTCGAGTATCCGATCCTAATCCGGAAACATCGATCATGCCATATTTTGAATAAGACTCTATTCACAGGTACGAGTGATCTCAATATTACTTTCGAAAAAAGACGGTATGATCGCACGACACACTTTACCACCTTCTGTTTGAACATTAACCCTCACATGGGAGCGGAGCAAGTTGAACCCGTGATATTACAAAGCCGAGCCCAAAATTAGTCAGTGCTCTTTTTGCCATCTCCTACTTAGAACTTCGTTAAAAAGGGTCTTCTGGCACTAATTAGGAAACTAAACAAAGAAAATCTGTAAATTTTCAATACACTAGCTATTTTCATGGTGTGCAAAATCAATGCTTTGAAAGCCTCGAGGGCATTTGTACACAAGACCACTTCTTTATTGTCTCATGGTAAATCCTAGAAAAAGTTGGTTCAACTAGAATGTGGAATTTTTGTTTGGAGTTATAAATTGGCCCTTGACAGAGTATATTGTCTCAACAAAATAATCGCATCTACTTGAGCATTCTCTTTTATAACTAATAATGTTCTTAAGTACCCAAAGCTGATTTACAGAACAAGGAATTGACTTGTGTGTGAATTAGGCAAACAATTTAGAAACACCCATTTAAGATTTGGCTCGCACCTTACCTGATTAATGAGGTCCGTAAGTTACTCTAGTGGACTCTTAAGTTTACTTATTTAGAAGTGAACTATCTTATCAGAAAAATAAAATCAAAAATAAAGAGAATGTGTGTGTTGAAGAATGACTGAGATGTAATCGATCTTCATAAAGGAAACAGCTACCTATATTTCCTCCCGAAGCATTTGGTGTGCGTAGCAGTCTGATTTGAAAGTCTCAATTTTGCATACTCAAAAGATGAAGGAGAAAATCGCAGACCACTCGAATCATGTCATAGGATTTACATGCACTTTCATTCACTGTTGTTTTGATAATTGGCAACTTTGTATATGGAATTTGCCTAGATTGTTTTTTCGTATTCTAGTTAGTTGTGTTCGGAGCTCTTTGACTACCAAACTAATCCCGTCCCACCCACCGGAATTGCGCCGGGATTATTAGAGACAAACAATTTATATTCCTGAAGATATCCCCAAAGAATACGCAAGTGTAGTGCTTTGACCCAAACCTTGGGGGGGAAATTGAGTTTGCCATTGGGCATCATTGGTATGAAGTTACCCCCATACTTTACTGCAAGACTAGTCAGTACAAAGAAAGAAAAGCAGTACATCGAATCAAAATTGAATACCAAACAAATACCAACTTTGGATAGAATCATTCAAATCAACTTGATTAGACATTTTGAGATATCAATATAAATTAATGTGCCGATTAAGAGTTAATATTGTCGGCCCAGCAACCAGTATCTTGCTAGATCTAGATCCGTTTAGAATTGTTTCCCATCCATATGATGAGGTGAGGCAAGTAAGAAGGGAAAAGAGAAGGACGGTGGAGATCACCAAACTACTTTGTCAAAGAAAATGATCTGCAAATGACATTGTGACAGTACACTCATGCAGTCATCTGCATTTATTTTGAAGTATGCGGAGCTTTGCCATCACTCCCAGTAACATATACAAAATGTCCATGTCTGTTCTCTACCGAAAAAAACAGGGAGAAACATAAACTCCTTAAGTACTTGGTTGGCTGTAGATCATGAAAAGACCTAAAACCAATAAATAAACGTTCTCTCGACTTGAAACCGAAAGCATTTTACCATTTAAAGTCGAAACGTTTTAATTTGTTCCTAGTACTGGAGCATGCAAAACAAGCACCACCGGAGATGCGCGAAATACTTAATAACGGCATAGAGATTGGAATGTATTCAACCTGGAAAGAATCAAAAGCGCTGCAGGATTACTCCTTGGTCAAAACACATCGTCTATTTATCTCTCATGTTCCCAGTGGCATCCACTATATCGAAAAAAAGCTGCAGACGAAAGAAAAGGCAGCATTACCATGAAAATCTTCGACTGTTTAAACATGACTGGTAGTTGCAAATTACATTATAAGATACCAAAATGCTACGATATTATGGTTCTTCAGTTGCTTCTGCATCTTGTTATCACTATAGAATAAAAACCATTGTGAACTGGACTACAATATTAGATTGGTCTTCATTGATGGATTAATTAACATGTAGAAGCCAGACTTGTAGGTGGATCATCTCATCAAAAGGTACCATCGAAATAGGATCCACACAAGGGACTTTGAATAGAATTGGTTTCTCACGTACTCCCTTTGTAAAAAAGATCAATACACCAAGCACTGCACATATATTTATTGGATTTGTTGCTAAAAAATCAGTATTAAATCCGAAACTCCTGTCCGTATGGAGCAGAAAAACTAAAAGATGATTTTAAACAGGAAGTAATAAGCGTGAGACAGGAGAAAATTAAACTCACAGTAAGCTAGTTTCCATATCCTCCCACGTTGACCTCTACCCTTGATTCCTCATGCTTGGAGCTGTCGTCAGTGTCAGCATATCTCGAGCTTCCATTAGACCCTCCATAAGATTCCACGACTTCAGAAATCTCAGCTGTCAGCTCTTCATGCTTCTTTCTAAGTTCGGGAGAATTCATTGCCTCGAAAAGCCTCTGCTTTATCTGCTGCTGCAGAGCATCGATCTTATTTTTTGACGACAAATCGGGCGTTTTTCCTGCTTTTACAATCTCCATCTTCAGCATCTCCATCATATTCTTTAGGTCAGATGAGTTGACCACTTCTTCGATTTTGCTATTTATTTCTTTATTTAGATTCCCCATTTTAGCACTAACTTCCGAGACTGAAGTTTGCGAACTAGTATCAATGCTGGCAGGTTTAATGGCCTCAACGTGCAGTCCGAAAGATTCAATGACACTGGCCATTTCCATGTCTATCTCTTTCTTCAAATTGACAATTTTCTCCATCAGGCCTTCATCTACATCCTCAGGAGCAGTTGCCCCAGATTCTTCAATTTCTGCATTCAGAGCTTCAACCTTCTCCTTCAGATCAGGACGTTCTAATACCTCTTTCAGTTTCCTATTGAGTTCTTCCTTCTGTGAAGCAACCCTTTCAGCACTCTTCACTTTAGACAACTCATTCAACATGTCAAGCTTACTCTTGAGGCTCTCGTAATTGGGAGCTCCTGACAAGCCTTGGTTGAACTCCTTCTTTAGCTTATCAATTTTATCCATTAAAATAGGATGCAAGGGTTGCTCCTGCTGCTTAGCTTTCACAAATTCTTCTCGTATCGTTGACATTCTTTCATCCAAGCCCATGGCCTTAATTGCCTCGGAGTACTCATGATCCACTTCCTTTTTGAGTTTTTCTATTAATTCATCCAAACCACTATCAGAAACTTCAGTGGATGATTCCTTAGCATTTACTATCTTCTGTTTCAGCTTTTCAACTTCACTCTCCAGTTCTGCTTCAGAAATCATTCCAAGTAGAGGTTCTTCTTTTATCTTCATGTTGACCTTCCTCTTGGGATCCACAGGGATTCCTTCTTGAAATCCACCAATTTTTCGGAACTTAACCGTGCGATGCTTCAGGAGTTCTTGTGTGTCCATTTTCTTAAGCTCCTGAAAAGATCAAGGACTCTGTCAGTAATGGTTCAGAATTCTATGGTGAAAACAAACTAAGTAATACTGACATTCATTGCTTCAACAACTGCAGCTTTTATCTGTTGGGAGGTCCAAGAGGGATCTGCATGGGCACCTCCAAGTGGCTCCTGTTGAACCATATACAAGAATGAAATCCAAATGGTCACAACATGCAACTAAAAATGCCAAGTTCGTAAAGTTACTGTCAAGATTTTACGATCGCAACAGCGCATAAAGAGAGCCAAAAACCTACATGATTACTCAAATAGCTTACATAATTGTCTCTAGGGAATATCACGTATGTCTTGATAGTCACTTCACTCGGGTGAGATTAATCTCACACAACTGATCCCAAGTGCGGATA